TGTCCTGGCTCCTGCTCAGGGACTTTTGCCTGTCTCTGTCTCAAAAGAAACAGAACCAGCCAGGTACAGGCCTGTCATTCCAGCCTCTTTGGAGGCTGAGGCAAGAGGATCCCAAGTTACAGGTTAGCTTGGGCTACAGGGTGAGTAATTTGGTACGATCGTGTCTCAAAATAAAAAGCAGGGAGGAGCTGGGAATTTAGCTCAGAGGTAGAGTGCTTGCCTGGCATGCACAAGGCCCTGGGTTCATGTCCGAGTCCTAGAAATTATAGGATAAATAAAAACAGAGAGGGGAAAGTGGTGGGGAGAACACACACAGGCCAGAGAAGCGCAAAACAAACAGGGGTCTTGGGACTGAGCCTGCGACCGTGAGTCTGGTAATCATGGTCACTCCAGTAGCCTGGGCTCACAGACTGGAGAAGCTAGAAATGCTTGCAGACAAAGAAGACCTATTCACTGACCTGCAAGCCCCTGGCCTAATCAGGCCTTCAGTGGATCACATGGAGCCCAACTGTCTGCTTGACCTCAAGGTCAGACGGCCATGGGCTAATAGGGGCTTACCAAGACTGAAGCAGCCACCACGGAGCCTGCATGGGTCTGAGCTAGGTCCTTTGCATAAATGTTACAGTTGTGCAGCTAAGTGTTCTTGTGTGACTCCTAACAGTGGGAGTAGGGGTATCTCTGACTCTTTTGTCTGCCTATGGGCCCCATTTCCTCCCAATGGGTTGCCTTGTCCAGCTTTAATGTGAGGGTTTGTGCCCAGCTTTATTCCATCTTGTGCTGTGGTCAATTGACATCACCTGGGAGGCCTGCTCTTTTCTGAAGGGAAAAGGAGAAAGCGTGGATCTGGGGGAGAGGGAAGGTGGGGGAGAACGGGAGGAGAGGAGGTGGGGAAGGTTAGAGTCAGTATGTATTATATGAGATAAGAATAAAGGAAAAAATTGGAGCTGGAGAGATGGCTTGGTAGTTAAGAGCACTGGCTGCTCTTCCAAAGGATCCAGGTTCAATTCCTAGCACCCATATGGCAGCTCACAGGTGTGTCTGTCTGTAACTCCAGTTCCAGAGGACCTGGAACCCTCACACGTAGACATACATGCAGGCAAAACACCAGTACACATAAAATGAAATAAAAATATTTTTAAAAAGTATTAAAAAAAAAAGAAAAATCATCCCATCTATGTAATACGAGGGTCTGCTTGTTGGGGTTTCTGTCCTGCCCAGTTCCCACAGTCGTTAGGCCCCAAGAAAACCACACAGAGAGTCTACATTAGATATAAACTGATCGGCCCGTTATCTCAGTCTTATTAGCTCTTGTAGCTTATATTAACCCCTTATTCTTATTTATGTTAGCCACAGGGCTCAGTACCTTTCTCAGCGAGGTAGGTCACATCCTGCTTCTTAGGTGATCTGGGCAGAAATGGTGAGGAATGGGCTTCCTCCTTCCCAGCATTCTCCTATTCTCATCACCCTGCCTCTACTTCCTGTCTGGTTGACCCGCCTATACTTCCTGCCTGGCCAATCAGCATTTATTTAAAACATGATTGACAGAATACAGACAATTCTCCTGCACCACATCTACACGTGCTTTCCAAACTGACACCCAAACTATCACAGGATAAAAGTTGGGCTCTCTGGCGCCTGGGGGTGAGTCAACCTCTCCCCTTTTGTGGGACTAGTCACCTGCCTGTGTGCCAGGGAGTCTGCTTGTGGAATGAGCCCTTCCCCCAGGTTGCCTGCTCTGCCCTAGTGCTATATTTGGGTTACAGTTAAACGTTCTAAAAATCCGCATTTGTGTGAAGTTCAGCTTTCACGGAGTATTTTGTATTTTTAGCCAGCATTATTTTGTTTGTTTATTTTGTTTTGTTTTGTTTCAAGACAGAGTTTCTCTATATAATATCCTTGGCTGTCCTGGAAATCACTTTGTAGACCAGACTGGCCTCAGACTCAGAGAGATCCACCTGCTTCTGCTTCTTGAGTTCTGGGATAGAAGGTGTGCGCCACCACCGCCCAACTTTGCCTGGCATTCTTAGTCTACTATCCTGGAGTCAGGAAAGCCAGGGCTCAGACACACAAGGCCCCTGGCTACCCAGGGCCAGGTGCCAAAACCGGCCAGGCTCCGGCCCTAGGGCCACAGCTGCAGCTCCCTATAGAACTCATCCACACTCCTGTGAGGCTTCCTAGCCTGTCTCATGACAGAAGTTCTGCCCAGGCTCACCCAGATCAGCCAAGTCCCACTGCCCCCCCCCCTTCTGGAGCACACACATCTCCCAGCCACAGGCCCAGTGTTTGGAAATAGAGGGCTCTGATTGCGCTCAAATATCTACATCCAGTTGGAGGAGAGCAGGTCTGGCCTGGGGCTCCTTCGCAGAGGTGATCCGAATCTCATAGAAGCGAAGGCAAGTGTGCAGTCTTCCTGATGGGATGAAGAGATTCCCATCATCCTGATGGGAATGAAGACATGCTACAGAGACACCTATGCACCCTCCCTCCTCACCCCCCGACATCAGACATCGAGGAACTTGACATGAAGGAACTGGAATTACTCCCAGAGTCTCATGCTGGGAGAAGGAAAAGGCTAGTTATCTTATGTCTTCCAGGAGAGATTTCCCATAATTCTGACAACTTGTCAGGCCACCTTGCAGGAGAGCCCAGAGCCCAGACAAAGATGGCTCAGTGATGGACGGGACCACACCTTGGCCAGGATTGCTTAGTTACTCAAACCGCGTGCCCTCTCTTTAAACCTAAGTGAGCCCACCTGTGGAGTTGCTGTATATTTGTTCCTCTTCCCAGTGCGGCCAGACTGAGTCTCCTTTTGGCTTCCATCCTGTCTAATTGGTCTATCGAGGACAAGGACTGGACCGTGGGTGACTGGGGGCTGTTCAGGCCCCGGCTCTGACCCCAGTGGCTCTGCTAACAGGTGTTGTGCCTCCAGCAAGTGCTGAGCTAAGAGGATCAGGGAGAGCTGCAGAGGGCAGGGCACAAGTGAGGCAGGGTGGCCCTTCTGAGAGATTCCTGCTGGTTTCAAGAGACCTGGTCACCTGCAGAGAAGCTATATGGGAAGTGAGGTGCTGTCACTGGGACCTCCTTGGGGATACCTCAGCCTCTCCAGTTCTCATGACCAGTGGCCAGAGCAGTGATGGCAGAAAGGGACCCTTATTGGGATGGGGAGCCACAGGGTACCCAGTTTCCCTTCAGTTCAGGACAGATGGTACCCTCCTGTGCCAGCCATGGCTCTTACGGCATAAGTCAAGAGTTTTGTCTCTAGGGGCAGACATGGGCACAGTGGCATAGCTCACGGTGTGGGAAGTAGGGAAAGGCAGAAGTTAGATGATACCCAGGTCTCTATGGGAACCACTGAACAGGGGCTTTATTTGGCTCTATTCATAGGTATATGGGATCATCAAACCCAGGCCTGCCCAGATCTCAAGGACCTCCCTCAACAGAACCTGGACTGATCCGTGGAGCAAGCATCATCCTCAGATGTGGGTGTGGTGGCAGGGAGGTAGAAGCAGCATGGCTGGGAAGGTGGGTTCCTCTTGGACCAGGAGCCAGGCGGGGACTTCATGGACAAGAAGGAGTCTGAGGGCCTTCAGAGACCCATCCTGAATTCACCAAGTGCTTTCTTTCCTCATGCCGATCTGGCCAAGTTTCCTACTTACTCGGTCAGCATTGAGAGCTGGTGTGCCCAGCTTTCCTTCAGTCAGCGCTGGCTTCTCACTCTGGTGTGGCCTACGGTCTGGGTCACTACTGATTTCAGGTCAGCTGGCTGAAAAATATTTAGGAACTGTACAAGGAAGCACACACCTGTATCCCCAGTACTTAGGAAGCTGAGGCCGGAAAATCAAGGCCAGTTCTGGCTACACAGTAAATCTGAAGCCAGTGGGGGTTACAACAAGACCTTGTGAGAAAAAAAAAAAGCCCAAACAATGAAACAAAAAGCTACCTGGATGTACGATGCTCTTTCTGCATCGTTTTCCTTTTTTTCAGTCCCTTTGTGAATTGCATTCAGGTGTGCAAGAGAAAGTCCATTTCAAGTCAACTCTGAAGCAATGCTTTGGTGACCACACAGGTGCTGACACTCAGTAGTATATAGAAAAGAGATGTTTGGGGCTCTCATTCAAAGTCCACCTGGGGCTTCAAGGTACCAACAACAGGGTCCCCTGAGTATGCTCACAGCAGTTGAGGTCCTGGACATGCCTCCTGGTTCCAGCTCTGGCAGCTGGAGAAAGGTCTGGAAACAGGGTGGCTGAGCTCCCCTGTACAGCCTAACCCCCCAGCCTGCCAATGGTTTCTGACTCCAGGACCCAAAGTGGCAGGCCTGTGCCCCTGAATCTCTCATAGGGGCTGTCTCTCAAGGTTTCATTGCTTCTTGCCTACCCTAGAGATGGCTCAGTGCCCTGTCCTCCCTGCCATACTGGGGTCTCTCGGTATCCATGCCCTCTGCGCTGCTCATAAGGTATCTACACCACTTCTAGAACCATTTAGAGAAGCATAGGGCCTCATGCTGGGCCTGGCCATGGAAAGGAGCAAGCTGGCTTTTTCTTGGGTTCCTTTGTGTGCACCTAGCTCACTGCAGTGTTGAGGCTGGAGTTCAGCTAGTGATGGCACCCATGTCCCCATGATGGGGGTCCTGAGGAAGGGAGACACACACCACATAGGAGCTTGGAATTTCTAACCTAACTTTGCCTTGGTGCTTTTTATGAGCAAGCTGATGTCAGGGGAAGAAGCCCTCTGCAGAAGGACATTTTTCTCTGAATGAGTCCACTACTGAGACCTCGAAAGAAAGACATGCCATCCACACTTTTTGTAAAGAGCAATATAAATATATTTACATGTAGATAAAATACAATAAATAGGTGTTGGTCATGACACTCACATCAGGACTGCACATTAGGGGTGGCTGGGAGAGCTGGGGCCCTAGAGACTTCCAGGGTCCCTGTGTTTGAGGTAAAATGTGATAGCAACTGTCCCTTTAAGGCAGAATTCCTGTAGGACACAGGCTGGGAGCACCAAAACTGGGTGGCAGCCCTGGGCCTCAGCCTAAAGGATCCCAGGGTCACCTGAAATATGGCCACCAGTCACCGGGACTGTGGCTCTGGTACAGTCACCAGCTGAGGGAGGGGAAAAGAGCCAGCTCAGAGAGGGTGGAGAGATTAAGGCATCTTCACCTACCCCAAGACCCAAGAGGGTTGGGTGGGTCTTGCCTTCTGCTCAGGCCCAGCTGCTGGGAGGGGGTGGGGGAAGGGAGAGGAGGCAAGTGGGGTCCTGGGTAACTTCAACCAGTCCGCAGCTTCAGGACCCTGGAGAGGGGTTCTTTGGCGCTGGAGTAGATGAGGTAAGAGCCAGCAGTGGTATTAAAGGCCTCCCAGTCCCGGCAGCCAAAGGTGGGGAGTTTGTGGACCGCCACGAAGCCCTCATAGCCTTGCCACCTGTGGGAGGAATAGTCAGCTTGGTCCCCTTGGCACCAGTGCAGGGGACATGCGTGCAGGGGACATGCGTGCAGGGGACATGCTTCCAGGGTCAAGTGAGGAACTGAGGCCCAGGAGAGAATCTGCCCCATCCGAGATCCTGAACCTCCCTTACAATCTACCCAGGAGCCTGTTCAGGCACCCTAAGTATTTGGGGGTGTGCAGTCAGGAGTGCTGGCTGTTTCTGTCTCAAGCCTTAGAAACAGGCTCACTCCAGGCATAGTGCTTTCTGCCGTCAGCCTTGGCAGCTACAGGCTTTGTTCTGCACTCTGAGGTCAGCAGATTCCTTTTGAAAAAGGACATGTTTCCTGTAGGTGACTTCATGACCATAGGACAGAGTCTCTGAGTGATCAACTCCTAGGTCAAAGGGCACCAGTGGCTCTGATGTTAATATTTTTCAAGATTATTTTATTGATAGGTATTGACCCTCAAAACCAGCAGGCAAGGGCTACCTCAACACGCCAGTGCCACACTCCACTGTATTCCACTGAATATTCTTGCTCATAGGGGTCACCCATTTTCCCAGGTTAGAAGCATTGGCTGTTAATCAGCAGGGTTCCTACATGTGGGGAGAGTGGGGCTCTCTGATTTTGAGGAGTCCAGTAACTCCCAGCCTGCATTTTCCACATGTTTGAGGTGATACAAGGTCCCCTTAGCTTTTCTTCTGTTATTTTCACTGTTGAAGTGTTTTACATTTGGATTTTTTATCCATATAAGATTAATTTTCTGTCCATGGGTATAAAGTAGGGAAAGCTCTGCTCTGTTTGAGATAGGTGATTCTATGAGTTATTTTATAAACAATACCCTATCCATTGACTTGGAATTCAACAATCAATTGGATTAGGTGAGCGTGGATTGCTAGTTGTTTTGGGCTGTATTCTATTCTATCTGCCTGTCCAAAAAAAAAATCATTTATTTATTTATTTATTTATTTTGCAGTGTTGGGAATGGAACCAGGCCTTGGATATGGCAGGCAAGTGCTCTATCACTGAACCACACTTTGGCCCAATCACCTATCGATTTACCTTTGGCAAAATCCACCCAAGTTTATTTACATGTTAGTAGGTTCCTCCTCCACTATTCCTCTGTGTTGTGTGTGTGTGTGTATGCATGCATGCATGTGCGTGAGCATGTGTGTGCTGGTTTGTATGTACATATGTGTGAAGGCCAGAGATAGACTTGGGGTACTCAATCACCCCATCTGATTTTCTCAGGATCTCTTATTGAACCCAGAGTTCATTGATCTGGCTGGGCTGGCTGGCTGAAGAGCCCCACAGACCTGCTTATCTCTACCTCCCCAGTTCTGGGATTACACACATGGGATGACTTGTATGTGGGTGCTGGGAATCAAACTCATGTCCTTGTTCAGCAAGCACTTGACTGACTCCAACATCTCCCAAGTCTTTTCAATATTATTATTATTATTATTATTATTGGTTTTTTGAGACAGGGTTTCTCTGTGGTTTTGGAGCCTGTCCTGGAGCTAGCTCTTGTAGACCAGGCTGGTCTCGAACTCACAGAGATCCACCTGCCTCTGCCTCCCAAGTGCTGGGATTAAAGGCGTGCACTCAATATTATTTTTTAAAAGATTTTTGGCTATTATTCTTCGACATACATTACACTTTTTTTCTTTTACATTTGTTTCTTTTATTTTATGTGCATGAGTGTTTTGCTTGTGTATATGCATGGGCATCATGCACATGCTTGGTGCCCACAGAGGCCAGAAGAAGGGGTTGGACCCCCTAGAATTGGAGTTATGAATGCTTGTGAGTCACTATATGGGAGTTGAGAACCAAATCAGATCCTCTGGAAGGGCAAAGATTGCTCTTAACCACTAAGCCATCTCTCCAGCTTCCCCTTCAACATATCTTTTAAAAATTACGCTATCATGTTCAAAAGACTATAGCAACAAGCCTGAAAGTCTAAGCAAAGCCATCCTAACTTTTCTCATAAACTACAGGTGACTGGAGCGTTTCAGGACACCTGAAGAAGATGGTAAGCATGGAGGAGGGGCTCACAAAGAGGTCTGAGGCCCAGAAATGAATTTAACCCAATGACAGAAATCGACACACTAGTATTTAAGCTGCTCTAGCCACGAGTGCAGATAGAAGCTGCATCACATCCTTATAAAGTTATAGACTTCATGATGTCAAGGGCAAGTTTCACTTCCTTTGTAAATCAGAGTCTGAGCTGGAGTTGGAATCTAGGAGGATGAAAAATTCCGAGTCGGCCTCAGCCGCTCAGCTTGGAACAAATCTCTCATTGTTCATCATCACACCGGAGGATCAGCATCTCCTGCTGCAAGTGCTAGGGACCCCTAAGGAAATCAGGGACCAGGCAGGCCACTCAGCATGACCTTAGATCAAAGCCAGGGGCAGAACTGTTAACCACCACCACTGCTGTGCAAGATAGTTCTGGAACTTCGAGCTAGTTAGGCACCTAACTAAGCAATAGAGGCCTTGTCAGCTAAGGGCGCCACTACCTTCGTGGCAGAGACAGTCAGTGGCTAGAGTCACTGAGACTCCTCCCAAGAGAAGGCAAGACAATTTGGTCAGGTGACTAGCTGCAAAAACTGATGAGATTCTGCCCATGGAAACAACACCCCACTCATGCTGAAACACTCAAAATAATAATAATAATAATAATAAAAACACTATTAAGATGCAAGGAAATTGTTATAATGTAAGAAAAAACTGAACCTCATAAATTCCCACTTAGCATACCCATCTATGCATTTTTAGCTGCCAGTCATTATCTGAGGGGTGTGGCCTAATGGCTTGCCCTCTAGCAGGTGCAACCTGGCATCAGATTCCTTGCCCTGGCTGGGCCTGGGAAAACACACCCTCAGCCTGATGGTCTCTACTTGCTCTGAATCAGTGGTCACCTGTGAGGGTAGGGGAGCCCTCCCAACCCCCGCCACTATGAACCCTGACATGGGAGGATGAAAGTCGGCCATCAGCAGTCCTTACCTGTAAATAATACTGTTCACTGAAAAGGTGTTTCCATCAAAGGAGTTTGCAACCACCAGGAAGTGATCTTCTCCCACAGAGAAGAACTCCCAGTCCAGGGCACTGAGGAGACAGGAAGCAAGGTGAGGATACCAAGGCCTTTGCAGAGCTGATGCTGGCCCCACGCTGGGCAGGCCACCTTCTTGCTCCAACTGCTTCCTCTCTTTTATTTTTAAGATTTATTTTAAGTGTGTTAGGAAATATTTAACTATGGAAAGATGTGTTACATTTGTTTCTGTTGCATTCGTGAACAGTGTAAAGATGTGTTACATTGTTTCTGCTGCATTCATGAACCATGTAAAGATGTGTTACATTGTTTCTGCTTCATTCATGAACCATGTAAAGATGTGTTACATTGTTTCTGCTGCGTTTGTTTAATTATGAGATAAAGTGTTGCTGTCTTACCTTGCCTGCCTAAGGCACCTGATTGATCTAATAAAGAGCTGAATGGCCATAACTAGACAGCAGAGGGATAGGTGGGGCTGGCAGGCAGAGAAAATAAATAGGAGGAGAAATTTAGGCTTGGAAGAATGAGAGAATGAGGGAGGAAGAGAGGGAGACACCGAGCCAGCCAACCACCAGCCAGCCAGACACAGAAGAAGCAGAAAAAGTAGGACATACAAACAGAAAGGAAAGGTTCAAAAGCCCCAAGGCAAAATGTAGATGAAGAGAAACAGGTTAAGTTACAAGACCTAGAATCAAAACTAATAATAAGTCTCCATGTCGTGATTGGTTGGTGGCCCAAAAAGAAGCTTGGTACATGTGTGTGCAATGCCCACAGAGGTCAGAAGAGGGCATCGGATGCCCTGGAGTTGGAGTTAGAAGGGGTTGTGCGATGCCCCATGTGGGATCCGGAAATGCAATTCAAGTCCTCTGGAAGAGCAGCACTCTTAATCACAAGGCGGCCTCTTCAGCTCATCCGCAATGGTTTCTAACCACAGATTCTCTTTATACTTGTTTTCTTCCAAATTCCCTTCCAAAAGGCCTAGTGGGTGCTTTATTCTAAGACTCATTCTCAGCAGACACACAGCTCCAGACATGGGTGCCTGGGGAGGAAATGTGCTCCCTTCAGGGTCCACCTGGCCCAGAAGCCACGAGCAGCTCGGGTGGGAGCGGATCTGGGTTGAGCTGGGCACTGCTGTTACTTCTTTTTGTTCTTTGTCCCAGGAGTCCTTTTTATTTTTTAAATTAAAAAAAAATAAGATTTTTCAAAAGTAAAGATTGTGGGTGGGTACCTCTCAGTCAGAAGACTGGGCCTGAGTAGAGGGTTTGTCCTCCCTTCCTTACCTGCCCTACTAAAGTCTCCTGTTTCTGGAGCAACCCTGGCTGTGGCCTGTGTGCAGAGTGCAGCCTACGGCTGCTCCCCCCTTCACTTACAGCTGTGTGTCCCATGAACACACAGTGCCTGTGTGGCCCTGTGATGTCACAGACGCCAATCTCACCATTTTACTTGACGTCGGCCTTAGAGTTTTTCTCTGAAGAGTCTAAGTTCACTCAGTGTTTTACCTCTCAGGCTGAGGAGTGCCTGGCACTCAGGAGGGGCTGTGAATGTCCCCCAAAGCTTGAAGAACCCTGTGAGAGCTCCTGCTGCATTTTGGGTTGGCAACCACTCTGGGCCTAGCCAGTGTTTCTCAACCTTCCTAATGCTGCGACCTTTTAATATAGTTCCTCAGGTTGTCATGACCCCCCAACCATAAAACTATTTTTGTTGCAACTTCCTAACTGCAATTTTGCTGCTGTTATAAATTGTAATATAAAAATCTTACATACAGGATATCTAATATGTGACCTTCCTAAAGGGGTCACGACCCAAAGGCTGAGAATGCTAGCCTGGAGCTCAGGCAGGTGGCTCTGCTCTGTGGACAGTGTGGCTGCAGCTGTATTTTACTTGGAGCTAGTGAGAGTCCTCCTAGAGGAATCCTGGGAGGATGTTGGGGAGAGTCTGACAGGACTTCTGGTATCGCCCACCCACAGACTTGCTTCACCCATCCAATCCCCTGGTTGGTACCTGCAGGTGGGGATGTCCTGGAACTTGACGAAGTTCTGTGCTGTGACATTCAGCTCGTAGATGACAGAGCTGAGGACATAGGAATCGTTCTGCGCCTGCATCTGCACGTCGTAGCTGTGACTGTTCGCCACAGCGAGGAAGATCCTCTCGCCGATATGGAAGACTTCCCAGTCTGCAGCGCCGAAGGTCTGGAGCGAATGAAGAGCCGTGCCAGAGGGTGAGGCCAGTGAGGGTGGCACCAGCTGCCATGCTCCTAATGTCATCACCACTGCGCCCAGTGACCCAGTGCCAGCTGTCTCTCAGTGCCTGGCTGCCGTCCTTTCACTGGAACTCAAAACAGAGTTCCTCTGCCTGCTTGCTCCAGAGGACACTCAGCCCCACGAAGTGTGAGGTGGGGGGTAGGGATGGGGAATGGAGTCTTTGCCACAGACCTGAAGCTGTGCAGGTTCATTTGCATAGGGGCTACCAAAATTCATATAGGGGCTACAGCATGGGTTGGGGGGAGCACAGAGAAGGAGAGGGAGGCCCTGATCAAAGGGGAACATTCCCGGAAAGGCTGAAGCAATGGCAGACAGGGCCCCATTAAGTATGTGGCTGCCTAGGGGGACAGCAGGACAGGGGACCAGAGGGTGGGAAGGAATGTGATAGCCCATGTGTGGGCCTGTGAATGGTGGACAGTGTGCTATCAGGTTCCAGGAGACCCAAGCCACAGCCAGGGCTCTGTAGTCTTAGTTTCTGCTCGCATCCATGCCTTATACCCATACTATACCAAGAGAGGGAGGAGCTCCTGGAATGGAAGGAGCTGTCGTATAGGGGTAAGGAGTGAGCTCTGGAGGGTGGCAGATACAGGAAGTGGAGCCTATGGCAGTAGGGAGGAGCTAGGACCAGGAGCCCCAGTCCATCAGAGGGTTCTGGCTGCCACTGTGGGGTCTCAGGGCAGCAACAGACAGGCTGTCTGTGAGTGAGAAGGGCTAGGGGCACAGAACTAAGGGAAACTGCCTGGAACTAAAACAGAACTTAGATCCAGCAAAGCAAAGGCTAGAACAAACTTCCAGAGGCCAGTGGGACCAACAGATAATCATTAGAACCTTAACTCCCCTCCGAGGGAGGAAACAGCATACACAGTGGCTACATGCAATCACCATGTCTACTATCCAACAACGCGTGCCCCATGGGGACACATGGGTGAAACCTGCATTCGGGTAACAGCTGACACCTGCTGGACTGTTAGTTCAATGATGCCACTCATTCTGCTGTCTTGAGATAACCCAATGGGCGAGATTCTGTTGGGATCCTCACTGATGGATGGGGACTGGAGCCCAGGGCAGGGTGTTCAAGCCACACATCCAGGAGGAGCCCAAGCTCTCCAGCAGGCTACTTCTCTGAAGACACAGGCAGGCTATCCTGGGGCTCTCCCAAGTTGCCCTAGCTGGGACAGAGTGAGCCATGCTATGGTTTGTGCTTCAGACTGTCCAGTGGCATCTTCCTGGCTTTAGCTAATGCCCAGGGACCTACTGCCTGAGGGACAGCTTGCACAGCTGGTGTGGGAAATGGCTCTGGAACTTCCAGGTGTGTGTGTTCATCTGTGCAAGTGACATACACATGTGTGCATATGTATATGGAGGTCAAAGGTCAACCTCGGATATTGTTACCCAAATTATTACCATTTGCTTATTTTTTCCTTTTTTGAAAGAGGGTCTCTGTGTGGGACCTGGGGAATCATTGATTCAGCTATTGGTCCTTGCCTCTCCACAACTTAGATTACAAGGACATGCCACTGCACACCTTTTATGGGGGTTCTAGGGGCTGAATGGCAGGTGAACACTTTACCCACTATACTGTCTTCACTACATTCCCTAGATGGAGTCTGCACACTACCAAGTGCCCTGTTTTCTTGCTGGCCAGCCCTGCTGGAGGCTTGGAGAAAAAACAAAGCAAAACAGAACAAAATCAAAAAACCAGCTCCGAGCGGAATTAAACCATAATCTCTCCCATGGGCAGCAGGGGGCGACAATATCCACTGAGCCCAAGAACCGACTAGGAATCCAGAGGAGGCTGCCCCATGGTTTCATCCAAAAAGAGCTTGAGGAAGCTTAAGAGGCACGAAGTGAGAGTCGTCTGAGGAATAAGACTGTAGAGGACAAGGGATCCAGGAGTCCTGCGGCCACAAAGTCCTGGGTGGGGCCAGGGGCCTTCAAGATCAGCATCCCTTCTCCTCACTTGGACTGTCTATAAGCTGGCATTAGTCCAGGGCCACCCTACACAGAGACACTGGGGCCTGCAGGACCTCCAGACCTCCAGACCCCCACGCAAACACAGCATGGCACAGGTATATCCCCTGGCTGTCATGGCATTGCTTCTTGCAAGGAAGTGCTGAGAAAATCATCACTGTCGGCCACACGCCTGTTTACATACATGCAGACACACACATTCACAGGCATACTGGCACACTATCATGTGCACAGCATATGTGTACATGTGTATGCACAGGAACGTGTTTGTGCACATACACAGAAACAGGTCTATAAGATGATTATGCACACCTGTGTGTGAATATATGTGCACATATGCATAAACACATGTGTGTATTCCTGTGTTATACATATCTCTTTCAGGTGGACACTCACCTGCCAGCATGTGTCTGAACACGTGCACATATGTGTAAAGGCAGGTGCCTGCAGGCATGCACATACATGCCCATATAGTACACGTCTTCCTCAGATCGCCAGGGGCTCCTTTCAGCATTGAGCTGCTTGCTTTCTTCTTGCCTGTACTGATGGGGCCATAGGGGATTTGCAGAGGGAGCCTGGTAGTGGCTGTCCTATGCACCCAGGGTGGCTGGAGATCCAGAGCAAGCTTTCCTGGGACTGCTAAGAGGTGTCAACCTCCCCCTGACTGAGCCTTGGTGAGCAGTCAAGTGTCCTCCTTGCCCCTCAGGAGCCCAGAGCAGGGGAGTAACCACACATTAGAACCGTAAGGGGCTGCCCAGGACGTTGGGAGTACAGAGAGTGGCAGATGTATAGGGGGAACGGGGGGGGGGATCTGTGGGTGAGAAGGCCTGAAAGGGTTTCGGAGTGGCAAAAATAGCAGGATACCCACAGGGCATGTGGGGGGCAGGGGGAAGAAGGAAGATGCTCAGGAGGGGTGGGGGGGGATAGAGAAAACTTTTGAGCATGAAGAAGGTGAAAGGAAACAGACATCAGAAGCCTTGAAATCCGTAAGAGCCAGGAAGGTGTGTGGGAGGTGAGCCTGGCATCAGGGGGTATATGAGGCTCACCCTGCTGAGCAGGTGCTGGGACAAGGCTCCAGCCACCCCTTGGAGAACCTGCTGTGTCCCTTGGGCATGAAAGACACAAGGCCTGCTGTGTGCCCTGGCAGCTGGGGCTCAGAGGCAGCTCGAGCCCCTATCCTCTCTGAGCCCTATCAGGACCAGAGTGCTGACTTAGCAAATGTGAGTACTGCCCCCCCCCCCAAATTTCAGGTACTTGAGGAATGATATACCCTTCTTCATATATTCCATGTAATAGTTGGGGCATAATTCTATTAAAAATGTTATTTTTTTAATCTGAAATTTATGTTCTCCATTGTTCCTGGGTAATGTCAGCCATGGACTGGTGGAGACCTGCAGGGGCCCTGCTAACTCAAGCTCTGATCCCTTAGCTGGTCAGATGGCTGCCTCACAGCTGGCTACATGGATTCCCAGGCCTCACTGTCAGAATCCCCTCCTCGGGATACCCACACTCCCCCCTCTGCAAGCCCCTCCCTCTCAGAGGTGAGAGAGCAACTACAGGCTACATCAGGCCCTGTAGCTTAGATTGCTTCTGTATTCCCAGAATGTCAGGGAATGAAGAACCCCAATATCAGACCATGTTACCAAAGCCCATCTAGCACTGGAACCCAGGTGATCAGAGACATTCCCTCTCTCCCTCTGCCAGAGGAATTCCCCCAGAGAGCTGCCTGCTGTCCAGACATTGGGTGTGTGCCGCTCGTACCTTGGCAGGATAATGGCACTTCCAGGAGCTGCTGCCAGGAGCACCTGGCATCCCACAGCTCCCATTAGGGTGGGCAGGCAGTCAGCCATCAGTGGATTAGTGCTGAACAATAGAGACTCTGGGACTGGCTTTGATGGGGGAAAGAATGAGCGTGCTTCTGTGGTCCAGGAGTGCCAGGAGAGGAGGGAAGGCTGACGCATGGCCCAGGCTTCCCTAGCTGCTTGGGGAAGGCAGTCAATCAGACCCCTTGCTGTGGGCAGTCAGCTCAGGCGGGCACTTGAGGCTACAGGAAGATGCACTCCTGAGATCCCCAAGCACAACACATTCCCTGGCCAACTCCTAGTGGCCCCACACTTCTGGGCTCTTGTCTGACCACAGAGCTATCCCCCAATTCCAGGGACTTCCCAATCTGCAAGGGACATAGCCAGTTTCTGTCTCAGTGAATGCAGAAGTCATAGGCATGTGGAGGTGTTTACAAAGCCCAGAGCAGCCTCTCATGAGGGCCGCCCAGGTACCTCTTACCCTTGAGGGATGCTTTCATCCCAGACTTACCTCACAGACAAGGAAACCAAGGCAGGGAGGCACACTTGGGGCCAGGCCTCGAGGTGTCCGTGATTGGGCATGCACAAACACATTCACGCGCACATGCAAGTATCTGGGAGCCATGGTCCTGCCCTTCAGGATCCACAGAGCATCCTACTGACATCGTGTCTGATGATGTCAATATCTGCTCCTGCTGACCGGGTAGCTGCTGCTGTTCTTGCCCTGGTCTCACATACCTTACTGACAGTTTCCAAACCATAGACCATGGAGGCTGCTGGGCCAAAGTTTTTTAGCAAACTTAGAAGCAAAATCCTACCTGCGTGGTCATGCCAGCTCTGAGGCTTGTGTGACTGGCCTGTCTGCTTTCCACCTGCTAGTGGCAGTGTGTTGTTAGTTTGGTTGGTTTGGTTTGGTTTGGTTTTCAGAGCTGGATATTGAACCCAGGGCCCGTGTATGCTACTCTACTACTGGGATGTACCCTAGGCGAATCCCCAGAGCACACTTTGATTGCAAGGCCTACTCTAGAACCCTCCAGGCAAGCACACGGAAAGCTAAGGTCCTGGCCTTGTTGTCTTCTGGGATTGGTGAGCTGGGGCAAAGGACTGGAGATGCTGAGAATTTGCCTGACACTGTCACCTACAGGTGCTCTGAGGCTCAGAGTGAATATTTGGAGACAGGGAGGGTCTCCCCCTTGTCCTTGGTACAAAATGGCAGTATTGGTGGCTGCAAGCTCTTGGGTACGGCGGGTAGGGGGTCGACTTCATGGAGAAGGAAATGTGTAAAGGAAACAATGCGGGCACAGTGGCCTCAACAGTGTTAAGGCGAGCCTGTGTGAGCATGTATGCATGTGGACACGCATGTGTAAGTGTGTTTGTGTGGGGTCTCTCCTGCCCTTTCTGATGCTCAGGCAGAAGATGGGAGGCGGATTGTCATTTCTGTCTCCCGTGTCTCTGTGGGCCTTGCTGTTCTTGTTTCCCACCAGCCCAGGCTTCATGCCATACCCCATCTCCACTCCAATGGCTCCCCGAACAGTATCTCTGGCTTCGCCCCTCACCAGTCCTGAACTCAAGGTTTCTTCCATACTTAACCTCTGCCCTTCTCTAGCCCCAGGGAACACGAGACTCAGCCTGTGTACCTTCTTCTGGTGTCTGCTTCAACTCTCACTAGGAGAATATGTCACCCAGTTTCGTGGGTGTCTGTCAGCATCCCCTGCTAGGCCACTCCTGCTGAACTAGGAAGCTATTGACTCATGGCTGCTATGGCTTGAATATGGCTGTCCCCACAAACTCACATGGAAGCTTCGAACCTGGGAAGACAAGGTCTGTCTGGCCTGTCTGGGCCATGAGCAAGGTGAGTGTCCTTGCTGTTGAGGACAGGTTAGTGGTCATGAGAGCATGCTGGTATGCAGTGTGGTGGCCCTCCTGCTGCATCCCTGTGACCTGCACCCCCCCCCCCCCACTTTCTGCTTAAAGTGGAGGCAGCATTTTGCTCTCGCCAAAAGCAGGGCGGAGGCACGCCCATGCTCTTGAGTGCCCCACCTCCAGACCAGAGCCAAACAAACTTTGTTTATAAATTACCCCAGCTCAGGTATTCTGCTGAAGCAATAGCAAATGGACCAAGGGCCCAATCATGGGAGCCTGTGCCTCTGCTCTAAGAGGAAGGCTCTGGAATTTCTGATGTGAGGCTTGAAAGACTAGAAGGTGTGGCTAAGGAACACACCCCTAAAGCATCCTCTGCTCCACCTCTCTGCACCCCCACCCCAGCAGCCAGTCTCTGTTCACCCAGCCCTGGGCTCTAACTAAGATCCCTTATGTCTGAAGCCGTCCTTTGAACCACAGGACTTACCCATGGTACCCTGGGAGTGCCTGCCCTATGGATGGGAGTCCCTGCACTACAGACCCTTCCAGAAAGGCATGCCCTGAAGAGGTGGGCGTGTCCCCACAGCTTGCAGCTACATTCAGAGCCTGCAGCTTAGTTAGCTTCAAAGCTGATGTTCGTGACATCGCAGAATGAAAACGGTAAACGTATTAAGACATCTCCAGGGCTGAAAGGATTTAAGCAAAAGAAGAGAGACTATTGGCAAAGCATGAAAGTGGACTTCTGTGGGTTCTGAGGAGTCAGGAAGACGTGGGGGGAAACTGCTGGTAAGCACTGCCTGCAGCTCGGGCAGGGCTGAGCCAGTCCACCCTATTGGTGTCTTCCCCCATGACACCCTGGTGGCTTCAAGCTGCTTCTGCCTCTGTGCCCTCGGCTGTTCTGTTCCAGCTGTGCCCCTCCTGCCCCTCCTTCAGCAGAATCACTCCTGGGGCTGCCCTCCTCCACAGCACACAGCCTGGCCTTCCCTGGGCTCAGGGTTTTGCTTTGATCCTGTGCTAACTGCAGAGCGGTTGCTGGCCTCCTGCTGTGCCTCTGCCCTCCACTAAGGTCACTGCTGGAAGCTCTGCTATTCTTGGCAAAGCTGTGGCTATGCAGTGCAGCTCACACGAACAGACTGTGACAGGACACGGCAGGTGACACAAAACTAAGTACTCAGAGATCTTGCCAGCAGGGGTGGTGGGACCAGCCAAGGGGCTTCAAAGTCAAAGGAGAATCAATATATGTCTGGCCCCTCCCAAACCCCTCTGCCCTGGTCACAGCCAGTTACCTTGCTACACCAGACCTGGAGACCCACAGACACCGATTGATTAGAGCAGGAGAACTGTGGCCTCTGGAGAGGTCTGCGATGGGCACTCAGGGTACCCTCCTCAACAACCCGAACTCAGCCCGCACCCAGGCTTTCCTCAGGAGCACTGGAGGACCCAAACCACCCAGGAAGATGTAGCATGCAGAAGGGACAGGCACTTGGACACTGGTGTCAGGGCCACACTAAGCTGTTGTTCACAGAGCCCTGACTCTCGGTGGCCCCGCTGCAGATTGGGCATCTACCCGAGAACTCGGGCTTCTCACCAGGAATGACTGGAAAAGCTGGAAGGCGCCCACGAGCCAGATGTACAGGTGGGAGTGCACCTGGGTGGAGGTGCCATTGAAGGTGTTGGCCACCACCAGGAAGGAGTAGGGCCCCACGGTGAAGAACTCCCAGTCGTAGGCACCGGACGTGGCGATGGACTGATTGGCTTCAAAGAGCTGGCTGCTGGGGTTCCACCTGTAGATCACGCTGTCGATGTTGTGGTTGTCGCCTGGAAGCAAGGTCAGCGCTGGGGGAGGGGGGCTGCTCCCTAGAATTCACAGCTGCTTTACCCCACCCCTCAGGCGACCTCTGCCGCCCAGCCAAGGGGCTTGCATGACCGCTGTTCCCAGAAGAAAAAAGCCTGCAGGTGGGTCCAGATAGTCCGCAGGCCAGCAGTGGCCTTCCACAATTTAAGCCCTCCTCACCTCCTGCCTTGGCCTTCTCCTGCCTCAAAAGGTCAGGCTTTCTCAAAACCTTCTCTTTGTCTGAACTGTCTTCCCCATGGTGTCCCTGGAAGTCTTCCATGGATAGTGCTCTCCAGGTATTTCTCCCTCATTGTGCTCTACAGAAGCCTTCCCCAGTGGTACTCTCTGGAGATCCTCCCCTGTGGTGCTCTCTGGAGCTCCGCACCCCCTCCCCCGTGGAGTTCTCTGGAGGCCCCCCGTGGAGCTCTCTGTCCCTGTGGTGCTCCCTAGAGGCCCCCCATAGTGCTCTCTGGAGGCCCCCCTGTGGTGCTTCCTAGAGGCCCTTCCCCATGATACTCCTTGGATGCATCTTCTGTTGTGTTCCCTGGAGGGTCTTCCCTGTGATCCTCCCTTCATGGTGCTCCCTAGAGGAAGTCCTGGGGCTCCTCTCCCATGTTCCTTTCTAGAAGGTCTTCCATCCCTGTCTCCCTCTCAAGTGCCTGCTGGAGCACTCACCCTGAGGGATACTCTTTTGTTAGGGGTCTTGGTCTTCCCTAGATCCTGAGTGCAAAGGCTGGTACTTCATCCCCAGGCTGCCTGGTGTGCTTCACACTTGGGTGGCTCCTGAACAGTGAAGTCTCCTGAGAGATGACTCAGAGTAACCCTACAGTCACACCCTGACATAATCCATCCTTGGAATTCCAGGGTCGAGAAGACTTGGCCACCATCATGGCAAAAGCCAGGTTTCCCGGCCCTTCCAGGCAGTGCCACCTGCCATCCTCTCTGACATTACAGAGTCTGTGCCAGGATGCTGAGCTTGTTCTCAGGGAAGCAGTGGTGGGGGTGGCCAGGATGCTGAGCTTACTCTCAGGGAAGCAGTGGTGGGGGTGGCCAGGATGCTGAGCTTGCTCTCAGGGAAGCAGTGGTGGGGGTGGCTTCCAAACTGGCCCCCTCTGTACCACACACCCATTGACATTAGTGCTGTTTCTGCAGCCTTGGCTTATGGTCACCATGCCACCTGCTAGCTGCGCTGACTCCTCAAAATTAGGAGGGAAGTTGCTGGATACAGTCCAAACTGGGACTCGGTGTCTTCTCTGGTGGTCAGGAACCACGTGGCTTCCCTGCCCTCCTAACCTAGGTGAACCACAGCCGTGTTGGGATTTAGGTGGACTACCCCTGAGCACATGTTTCAGGGGTAAGTTGCAGGCAATGGGCCATGCATGACTTAGTGTTTGTGTGTGGGTGCACACGTGTGTGTGGGGTGTGTGTGTGAATGCATATGTATGTGCGTCACACCCATGTGGAGGCTAGAGGCCAGTCTCCAGTGTCATTCCTCAGGGACATTGTCCACCGTGTCTTTTTGAGATAATGTCTCTAAGTAGCCTGGGAATCGCCAGGCAGGTCATACTGGCTGCAGTGGGACCCTCTACCCCAACTAGTGCTGGGATTATAAAGGCAGATTTAGCTATTTTTATTACATCCTGGGTGTCAAACTCAGACTCTCATGCTTTTAAGACAAGTACTTTACTGACAGAGCCATTTCCCAGCCCTAACTTAATATATTTTTTAAATTTTTTTATTGTTTTTAAATGAGTTACACATTTTCCCCTATTCCCCTTCCTTCCTCCCCTCTCCCCTTCCACCCTCCCCCCTACCCCCTCACACTCCCAATTTACTATTTTTTTTAATGAGATGAAAATTCACCCTTGCATACAAACTATGGAATGGTTTCCTTCCAGGTAAAAGGTCATATGCACCCTACCTTCTCTGTGGTTGGCTACCACCAGGAAGTGCTCTCCATCCACTATAAAGGCCTCCCAGTCCCGGGCACTGTGGGTGGCAATCCTCTGGTAGAGGGTGAACTTCAACTTTCTGGGGCTCCACTTGTAGATGACCGAGAACTCTTGACCCCTTTCATTTGGCCCAAAGTTAGCCACGGCCAGGAAGATCTGGAAGAGAAGCGTTACCTTGTGTCGGCCCCAGACCAGGAGCCCAGTCTGCAGGATTCTGGTCCTCAGCATCTCTCCCACACGCACAGGGAAGGAAGGGTACGGGACAGACCGAATAAATACCAAAGTGCTGGTAACCGGACATGCCAGGCCCTATGTTGCATGGTTGCGTGGCTCTTCCAGGGACAGAAAGCATGGGTTTCAGTTACGTTCGATGTGTGTGCATTGACCATATGCAAATGAGAGCATGAGTTCCCCCAGAGACAAAATGTTTCCTTCCCTTGGTTTTCTGTTTTCCAATATTTCTTGAATACTAAAATATCTACACCACCCCCTTTCAGATGTCACTAGGAAAAGAAACCAACTGATAACACATCGGCCATTCTGAACCTGGACACAGTATGTCCCAATCGGGAGGCAGCAGGCTTTACCTATTATCCCCAGTGTCTGGCCTGAGCCCTCTGCTGGGCCAGAGCCCTTGCAGACAGCCACACCATGCTGTTTCCACGACAACGTCCTGCCATGCAGGCTGCAGGAATTGGGAAGGGAGAATTCACTTCTCCTTCCATGGTGCTGTGGATTAAGCAGACTGTCAACTGGTACCACCTCTGTCTTGTGGGAAGCTGAGCAGGCTCCTTCTAGGTACACTCCTGCAGCCTAAAGCCTGTGACTTCAAGCCCCACCCCACCTCAGCAAGGGCTTGGAATCCTGAGAGACGTGCTGACCTGCAGGAGTCCAGCCTGCGGACCCCATGGAGGCACCCATCAATGAGGAAGGGGACGTCACCTGTACAGACTTGCCTTTTTCCCAATGGTGAAATGTCGCCACGACTGTGCCTGGTGTGTGGCGATGTTCTGATAGGAGACAAATTTCCCATCTGTCCATTTATAGATGGCGGATCTAGCCTTCCTATTGGCCGTGGCTGCAAAGAGTCCCACGCCGGGGATGTTGAATACCTCAATGCCCAGGGTCTCTGAGTTGGTGTGCAGACTCTGGTGTTCCTCCACGTAGTCCAGCTTGGTCTTGGCTTGGAATGGGAGGATGGGGACCTAGTCAGTGTGCATAGGAATGGAACTGGGGGTTCTCTGGGAGTTATATTTGGGACCCTGCCATGACTTGGCTCCTAGGCTCATGCCCAGGGCCCTAGAATTTAGGAAGGAGAATTTTCCCTGGTGCTCCATTTTATTCTCCTGGGAAAGGACCATCAAAGAGAGGATGCTCCTGTTCACTAGGGGCTTTAGGGTCTGTGTGGTCCCAGACTCAAACAGGACAAAAGGGAGGTCTGAGTGTCTGTATTGTACCCTCTTTCTGCCATTGGCTAGCAGGGAAGAATTACTGAGAGAAGCCAGCCATATGATCCTCATGGCACACCCTGAATATGCCTATTTCTAGGTTGAATACACAGACTTGCCACTCCTTCTGGAGTCCTGAGGACAGTTCTGGGGGATGGGCATGCCTATTCTAGGGAGGAAGACAGCCTGGCTTGCCTGGGCTGTTCTGGTGGCCACCTGCTCCTGAATTTATTACTGAGGAGGCTTTCCACTCTCTGAAGTGGCCCTTACAGGTGCATGGGGCTTGAAGCCTTTCAAGATACCCTTTTCCTAATGGGGACACAGCCAACTGTTCTATGTGCTTAAGATGTGAATTCTGAGTCCAGCCTCACCTGTCAACACGGACACCCACTGGCTGTCGGCACACAGGTAGAGCCCCTTTTGGGCAGCATCAAACCAGAACTGGACACCCTCTGCCTTGGTGCATGGCGGCTGGGATCCCAGGGTTACTTTCATGTCAGCTTCTGTGGGGAATATCAGACAAAAATGTTTTGCATATCAGGATTCCTGCGATAAGGACTTTGGCAAGGGGTCCAAGCCCGGTGGTCCTATCTTTACCTTTGTACATGGCTGAAGGGAGCCCCAGGCAGCATAGGCCACTGGAGGTAGGGTGGGAAGCCCTAGAACCCCAACCATAATGTTTCCTGTGTGACTGGCTGACCATACCTACCTTCTACCTGGAGGGAATGTCTCTCTGTCCCTTTGCTGTCACACAATGGACAGCCTCAATAGCAACACACTGCTCTTCCCTGAGAGCCTGCCTCTTCTCAGCAGGAGGAGCTAAACTATGGGTGATATTTTTGGGTCTGTGTTTTGGTCTCACCACTATTGGTACCAGCATTGGTCTCATGTCTGGCCTCCTGGCTTTATGGGGATAGCCATCAGCACCAGGCAGCGGTGTCACACAGTAAAACCTAAATGCCTGACATATTCAGATTGGAACTTCCTTTATTTATTATATGAGACCCATAAGCTTTGGGGCCCGACTGTCCTTCACCTCATCTTCTTTCCACGGAGCAGGGGTATATGGGTAATTGGGGAGGGACTCTCAGATTCTGTACAGAAGGGGTGCGATTTTAGTAAATGACTCAGCACTGCAACCCAACACTAGGACAGGGCAGATAGGAGTCAGAGGAAACACATCTAGAAGATGCCATGGTCTGGAAGGGCTGATGGGAAATGGAGTTAGGTCTTAGTGTGGGTTGGGCTGAAGTTAGGATAAGCTGGACAGAGTAGCTGGGAGATAAGGGCAGTTGCTGGCCAGGGAGCCTTCCTGATGAAACCGTATCTACCACCTGCCAAGGGGACCAAGAAAGGTGATGGTCTTCCTGTAGGCTGGCCAATCAGAGTCCTTCAAGGGAGGAACAGGTTAGTAGTTCTGGCCTTTCTGATGGCCCAGTGTATCCTCCTGGCCACTGTGACACCTGCCCTTCTGTCACTGAGAGATGTACACTGGAGAGGCTGAGAAAGGAGCCTGTGCTCTCAGATGGAGCCAGGGTGGGAAACAAGCCCCGCCTACTAACCATAGGGATATTTCAGCACATCGTTAGCATCAGGCTTCTCTGTGAGCCTCTTCAGCACCCGGGGGATGGACAGTTCAGCCAGCCTGGCGTTCCTGCTGGGACATAGCCTTGGGGTGGCATCTGAGCCAGGCAGCAGAACCAGTTGCCTTATCAGGCCCTGCGGAAGGAGAAAGTGAGGTTCCACTGATATCTGCAGCTGTTGGGGACCTTGGCCCACATGGCCCAGTGGGTCTAACCTGCAGTGTGGGAATGGGTCTGCATGTGGATCAGGAGTGATGGCAGGCAATTGTTTATTGTTCTTAGTAAAGAAGGGACTGTCCACATGGAACTAGAGTGACCAGGCCACATTCCTTGTCCATCTCACCCAACTACTTTTTCATTCCTTCCTTAAATATCTACCCACCATCGATTCATTCATTCAACTATCTATCCATCCATCCCTCCATCCCTCCACCCACCCACCCACCCACCCATCGCTCCACCCATTTATTCATCCCTCCACCCATCATCCATCCATCCATCCATCCATCTATCCATCCATGTACCCATTTATTCATCCATCCATCCACCTACCCACCCACCCATTTAGCAGTCATCCTTCTGCCCAGTTACCCATGTCTATTCATTAATAACCAATAAATCCACCTACATATTCATCCCTCTATCTATTCACTTATCCACTTACCCATCTAACCACCCATTTAAATATATATATATAGCCACCCAGGCATCAATCCATGCATGCATCTATCCACCAATCACTATTTACCCATGCATGCATGCATGCATACATGCATCCATCTATCCACCACCACCCACCAATCCATGCATACAACTATTGACCTATCAGTTCTTCCATTCAATCATAACACAAGCACATTTCCACAGAATGATCACTATGTACCAAGCATGGTTGCAGATGCCGAGGACACCACAGAGAACTGTAGCTCCTAGTTGTGGAGTAGACTCTAGATACCATCTCAGCAGAGAGTACAGCACAGGTGATGGATGTGTGGGTGAACGGACAGATAGGTGGATGGGTGTGTGAGTAGATGGGTAGGTGAACAGAAGAGAGGATGAATGAGTGGATGGATGTGTGGGTGGATCAGTGGGTGATGAGAGGATGAATGGGTGGTGGATGTGTGGATGGATGGATGGATGGATGGATGGATGGATGGATGGATGGATGGATGGATGGGGGTGCTGACATACATCAAGGCCAGAAAGACTGGGTTCAAGCATCAGTTTATGAGCATGTTGGGGTCAGGGTTCCATGGTAGGAGGACTTGTGAGCAGGGATCCAAGAGTCTCAGGGAAGAGTGTGTGAGAAAATAGGAAGAGCCAGTGTGAGGGTCCTGGGGTAGACTCTGCAACCCCTTTGTGTTCCTGGTTCTCATTTAGCATTGATGGCAATCTACTATCTGAAGCATGTGACGGGCTGTCCCCAGAGCCCTTGGGGAGGGCTGCTGCTGGCAGGTCCTCCACACTCACTGTGAATAGGCCTTTGGTTCTCTTCCGGCTGCCAATGAAGAACCGGGCTCCTCTTACTGATAGGGTGGGTGGGAAGGGAACGTCAGCCATTCTGAAACATGAGCGGACAGTACTAGTACCATAGAAGAGGAAGGGCATACACCCCATTTGCTTATAAAGACAGGGGCTGGGTCTCACATGAGAAACAGGAGAGCATCCTAGGGCAGCTGTAATGACAGGCTTCACAGCAATTAGAGGTCCTAGGCCTGCAGAGCAGGGCCCTCTCTGAGACAAAGGAGGACACCTTGCCCTTCTGGCTCTAGTGGCCCCAGGTTTCCCAGCTGTGGCTGCATCTCTCTACCTCCATCTCCCTTCCCATTGCATCTGAACATGCTTGCAGCCTTTCCCTTGCCTCTGTGGTCTCTGCCACCTCATCAGAAACTGTCTCACTCAGCTGACATAATCTTGACTTGGTTTAAGACCCAGTTGGCAATTAAATGAACATTCATAGTCCCCAGGGGAGATGAGTTGGGGTACCCAGGACTGAGGCCCTTAAAGGAATGCATAGCAAGGATACATATGAGACCTTTTTGCTACCTTGGTGAACCTCCGGGACCTTCCTCTGTATCAGAACCTTGACCCATATAACCATTGTGTGCTTTTATACAGCCAGGGAGATGATGGCTACAGGTAGGAAGGAGGCACCTTGTTAGAGACCTGGGAGCCTCTGGAATGTGTTGGCTGTGATTGCTACGAAGGTTGAACTCACTGAGGAAGACATGAAAGATAGCAGGCCAAGAGAGGGACATGTGGCTGGAGCCACTGCATGAGGTGACCTAGCTCCTGCTTCCTCCAGCCTTAACCATCTGCTATAGTGCACCAAGCTCCAGGCCAGGGGTACCAGGCAGCCAATCCTCCACCCATAGCCCACCTCTACTCTGTGGCTAGGCATCCTGGCTCCTGAGCCCAGTCTGCAGCCTTGGAGCAGGCCTGCATTCTCAACCCAAGGCCCTCAGATCTTCCTTGGCCACAGTTGCTCCAAGTAGGCGATTTCTAGCCCCTGATTGGGCACCTCCATTTCACAGAGCTGTGTAGCAGCTCTATGGCCCCTGGCCTCATAATGGAAGCCTGTCTTCCATAAGGCCCTAAGGTATTCCATAATGCACCTAAGGCATCCTCCATAGCCTGCCTCAAGTAAAGGATCTGGCAGGGCAGGGGCAGGGGTGAACTTGCCTAGGACCCACCCCCCATGGCTCAGTGGCAGAACAGTCACTGCAATGGGTTGCTTAGATGACACACAGCATGGTTAATCTCTGGCATGAACATCCTGGTACCTACATGTCCATCGGGAAGCCACAGTCCATGGTGAGGGAAAAGGATCCTTGGGACACAGCCAAGATCAGCGTGTGCCATTGGCTGTCCACGAGGCCGGGGCTCCGGAAGGACACACGGGTCTGCCAGGCACCAGCCAAGTCCTCGGTGAGAAATAGGAAGTGCAGCTGTGTGGGTGAGTACCTCAGGCCAAGCAGCAGTGTGTGCCTCTCCTCCGCCAGCAGGGAGAGCAGGTATTCATTCTTCTGTGGAAACCAGGGCCAAAGGTGGGGCGGAGCTGAAGCAAAGGGAGGAGGGAAGGACCAAGAAGGATGTGCAAGGCTAACGGGGTGAAACAGTTGGGAATGGAGGGGAGAGGAGAGCAGGGCCTGGAGGGGGTGGGGAGAGAGGGTAGGGATAGGAAGAGGGTGGGACTGAGAGGAGGAGGTGGGGCTAGTCAGGGAGTGGGAGGAGCTGATGGCACCCTATCCAGCAGCACTTTCTGGGTGGGAATTCAGTGTGGCTCCCCACCCCAGCCCCCCAGCCAGCTCAGGACAAACAGCCTAGCCCATGTGCACAACAGAATGTTTTCAGCCTGTGGAGAGAAATAGGTCCTGGCCTGCTCCATCATGAAGGAGCTGGGAGGACCTCACACTGAGGAAAACAAACCAGGCCAGAAGGACAGGTGCTGCACCAATCTGCTTAGCTCCCCAAAGGCTCAGATTCATGCGGACACAACAACAAGGGTGCCAGGGATTTGGGGTAGGGGTGGGGAGGGGTGTAGAGCAAGAAGCCAGGAGTTCACAGGATAGCTGAGATTTGCTAGGTAGTATGTGAATGAACTCAGCACAGCCGGGATGCGCTCACAAAGATCACAGAGAGTTCTGTGATAGGTGTGTTTTATACAGTCAGTGAAGCAGAGTGCTACGGGCTATTTTCTGTCCACACATCTCACCAAACCGTCCTTAGCCAAACACAGGCAGTCTGACCAGCTAACCGGTAAGTTAGCTCTGCCAACAGCTGAGTGTATGCATGCCAATGTGTGCACACTTACTATTTTCCTTAGCAAGACTCTGCCCATGTGAACCTGCGTGCCAGTTCCACGCACCTGTCCTAAAGAGGGTGAAGGCTTGTGTGACCTTCAGAGTTGGCTCAACGCGCAGTATGCCTTGGTCACAGTACGGGACACTTGCTCAGGTTCCTTTGGGAACAGGGGCTCTTTCTGCTTCTGTGGCTCTCACAGTGGGGAGAAGTCTGTTTCCTGGAGACTTCCAGGAAATGGTTTGGAGCTTGGGAGCTGACAGGTGACAGAGAACAAGACCCTCCCAACGCTGTCCAGGGGATCGGGAGTCAGAGAAGGCCAAAAAGGAGCTAGGGATGGTGACAATGGGGAGGTATAGGGACGGAGCACCCTAATGCCCCCAACACACGCACCAGGCTCATGCTGGCTTGAGCTGTCAATTGTCAGCCTGCCCATTTTGTATTCATTATTTTGTAGCTATGACTAAACACCATGACTTATGAAGAAAAGAGTTCATTTTAGCTTAGGGTTCCAGAGGGAGAGTCCGTAAAGGTGGGAGATAAATGGCGGCAGGTGAGTGTAGCAGGAGGCCAGAGAGCTCATCTCTAACTGCGAGCAGAAAGCAGAGAGCATGGACTCACAATGGGCGAGGCCATCAGCCCACAAAACCTGCCCCCGTGACATATACCCTCCAGCAAGTCTCTAAACGTTTCTCAACTCCCCAAACAGAACCATGCACCAGAGACCACGTCTTCAAACAAATGTGCCGATTTGGGACATTCTTCATTCAAACAACTGGTGACCCCCAGGGGAGGTGGCTACTGTCCCTTCTAGAAACATTCCTGGCTACGAAGATGGGTATTTACTCGAACCACATGTTCCAGAGAATAAGAGCAGATCCAGGTGGGTAGAAGAGTTTATTGAAGCCATGGGCTGCAGACAAGCTGATGTCAGGGGCAGGTAACCAAAGCAGAGGGACTGGGAGGGAGGGCAGTGACACGGAGGATCAGCAGGTCTCCTGGGAAGGTCAACTCACAAAGGACAGGTTGGGGGCTTCATCCTGGGGGATTGGCTATCCCAGGTAAGGATCAGGCTGAGAAAGCTGGGAGGGGCCATAGGGAGGGACCTGAGCCAACTGGAGCCAGGAACAGGCCCATCAACAGCTGGACTTCTGGCCTGAGGAGAGGCCACAGCAGGCCTGGCTGGAGCAGGCAGGGCTGCAGATCAGGGACATGCTGGAGCAGGGCTTGCAGCAGCTGGGCTGGCAGGACGAGGCACAGCAGGAGGAGCTGGGCACACAGCAGGCAGGTCTGCACACAGGGCGGCAGAGCAGGGACACGCTGGAGCAGGGCTTGCAGCAGACAGGCTTGCAGCAGACAGGCACACAGCAGGAGGATTGACAACATGAGGGCTGGCAGCTAGACTGCTGGCAGCAGGAGGAGGATCCAGAGCAGACGGGTGTGCAGCAGACAGGCTTGCAGCAAAGGGTCACACAACAAGGTGAGGAGGTGCAGCATGAGGGCTGGCAGCTAGACTGCTGGCAGCAGGAGGGTGTGCAGCAGCTGCAGCAGGCAGATTGGCAGCAGGGACTGGACCCACAGCTCACTGGGGTGCAGATGAGGGTCAGGCAGGGGGCTGGGGCACAGCAGCTGGGGGCACAGCAGCTGGACTGGCAGCAGCTAGGTTGGCAGCAGCTGGACTGGCAGCAGCTGGGGGCACAGCAGCTAGGCTCACAGCAGCTCTCTGGGCAGTCATCCACCTGCCAGGAGGAGTTGGTGCAAGCGTCAGAGCAGAAGGACATGGTGGAGGTGGCCATGGTGGGGCTGACTGGAGTTGGGAGGTGTGAGCTTGAGAGTGTGCGTGAGAGTGTGTATGTTATGTGCTGTGCCGTCAGCTTTTATACCAGGGTATGTTGTCAGCCAGAAGCCTCTAGAACCTTTCTTCCTCATGGGTATTTTAAGCTGCGTCCTGAAAACCCTTGTTAATCTGTTTATTTACAGGCGAGTCACTCCTCCTGAGCCCTACGTGGTCCTGGCTAGGGCCTGAGGGTGCTGTGTGCTTGGTCCTCAGAGTGGAGCCTTGTCCAAGCTGGATCTGGCTTTGTGCACACACCACATGCCTCATCATCCAGGCTGCCCCACTAGGCAGTGAGGAATTTGGAGTTCCAGCCCAAGTAGGTGGGTAGGGTCATAAAACCTACTGGCTACACACACCTGGCAGGGAAGTATCCCTGAACCCTGGGGGAGACTATCCCAAGTGTCTCAACGTGCCACGGGTCTGCAGAGAATGAGACAGTGAGGGAAAACTAGAGGGAGATAGATTCTTCTAGAACGCAGGCTTTTCAGAACAGCAACAGAGAAAGGGAGCTGTGATGCAGGACTGGGACCCCCTGCAAGTGGAATGTCACCATGTGCTGTGTGCCCACATAGACTGGGAACCTGTGCCTTGAATGCATGGGGACACCTCGGGGCTTTCACACAGTCCAGCACCCACACTGGCAGGATGGGCACACCAAGATGGCGTCTCCCTGCGCTGCTGCTGCTTTGGGATGACTGGGGGTGCATGACACCAGAGGATAGGAGTGGGCTGAGCTTTAGTAAGAGGCTTGGAGAGCTCCTGCCTACAGAAAGAAGAGCTAAAGCCAGGGACAGCAAAAGGACACTTGGAACCAGTTGAAGCTTCTAACTCTGCCGGGGCAGCTAGCCTGCCTCCCTGGACCCATGTAGCTGTCAGTTATAAGACCCACTCCCCTTTCCTCCCCTCCATTTAACCCAGTCTTTGTGGTTTAAAATTTTCTTACCTCAAAATTCAACCAACGATTCCCACCAAGTTTATGTCTTTCTACAGCTCTATAGTTGCATTGTATCGATTTCCCACAGTATAGCTGGGAGATGTTTTGACTGTCTCCTGTTTACTACACGTAGGAATAAGGTGGTAGTCATTGTTGTTTGTGTTTGGTGTTTTCTATGATGGTGAGTTTTCTTTCCTCTCGAGTAAACCTCTGTGTACATTTCTTGGGTCACACGTGGGTAAATGTTTATCCCCAGGCTGCAGCATCCCTGAGAGGCAGGCCATTTGCACTCCGCGGCCGTGTGACCAGGCTGCACTCTTGGTTCTCTGTGTTTGTGCTGGGATGTGCTCTCTGGTGGCTGGCGTCGTGCTCGGTGTGTTTAAGGGACCCCTCTGCCCTGCTGCCTTGTGTCTGCAGAGCATCCTACACACAGTGTGGGCAAATGTGCTCCCCACGCTGGGCTTCTTAACCTCAGTGGCTCTAACAGGCTGTGGGGCTCCTCTACTGGGCTTGGCATTTCCCACCGAGACTCCCACCTGCTTCTCTCCTGCCAAGGCATCTTGGTAAAATGTGTTTTCTTTCTTTCTTTTGAGGAAAGGTCTCATATAGCCTAGGCTAGCTCGGAATTTCCTGTTTAGTTGAGGATGACTTGGAACTCCTGGTGGGATTTCAGGTGTGCCTCACCATGCCCAGCTCGTGTTTAATGGTTTAAAGATGAGAGTTTAGTTCCTGGAGGCCCGACTCATCAACCAGTCTCTTATACACTCTGCTTCCCACGCTGATCTGAGAAATCTGCTTCCCATTGGGGTGCGCAGACACTCTGCCTGTATTGTGTCCTAAAGGTCAGACATACTCACTCGTTCTCCCCCTCCCTCCCCTTCCTCTTCCATCCCCTCCCCTCCCCCTTCTCAGAGGTTTACTGAGCACATAGCTGGGGCAGCGGACTGGGCAGGGACAAGTGACCAGCTCTTTGTTATTTCTAGGTCAGGACCAATGGGGAGGCTCGTTGTTGCTCTGTGGGAAAATTTTACTAGAAAGTGCGATTTGTCCATATTTGTTCTCTTTTTTTCCCTTGTGCTGCTGATGGGTTCTTGTGATTACATATTAGTTTTAAAACCAACTTGCAGATTTCTGCAGCGATGCTCACTCAGATTCTGCTAGGAACCGGGAAAGTCTCCGGATGAGCGGGGGGCACCCCCTTCCTGACGTACTGAGAAGGTTTTCACCTGAGTTTCACAGTTTCCAAAGCATCTGTTTGGCCACTCAAGGGCTTAGCTTGGATGTGAGGACATCCGTCTCCCAGTGGTGATTGGCATTGATCGGCCTGGGCCTTGCTAGAGGTTAGGGAGAAGGTATGGCACATGGTGAGGTCAGCTGTGGGTTCCCAACAGGCATCAGAGTAAGGAAGTCTCCTCACCTGGGCATGTGGGGCTTTTATTGTGAAAGAACATTGGGCTATCCCAGCTACTTTTCTGCATCTATTGACAGGATGGTGTGATATTTGCCTTTATTATGTGTGGGACAATGGTTTTGCCTGTAAAGATTTGTTTCTTGTACTTGTTTGGTAAAATGCTGATTGGCCAGTAGCCAGGCAGGAAGTATACATAGGTGGAGCAGCCAAGCAGGAAGTAGGGGCTGGGCCACGAGAACAGGAGAATTCTGGGAAGAGGAAAGAGTCAGTCTGCAGTGGTCACCCAGACAGAGAGGAAGCAAATGAGAAAGGTATCAAGTCACGTGGCTAACACAGACAAGAATAATGGGTAAGGTTGTAGGATGTAAGAATTAGTTAATAAGAAGCCTGAGCTACTAGGCCAACCAGTTTATAACTAATGGAGACCTCTGAGTGTTTAATTGGGTCTGAACTGCTGTGGTACTGGGTGGGATAGAAACCTCTGTCAACATTATTATATCAATACAATGTATTATATTAATTGATTTTTCAAATATTAAACCAATGTTTTATTCCAGAGATAAAACACACTTAGCCACAGTGTTAAGCAGCTTCTATTGCTGTGACAGAATGCCAGAGGCAAATCGCTTATAAAGAGGAAAGGTTACTTGGCTCCTAGTTTTGGGAGTGTCACTGTATCTTAGTGACGTTTCTGTTGCTGTCATAAAACAGCCAAGGCAATTTAAAGAAGAAAGAGTTTCTGTAGGCCTATGCTTCCACAGGGCTGAGAGGCCACCATGGTGGGGAAGTGACTGGTGGAGAGGTAGCTGTGGCAGCTGGGGTCGCAAGCTGGGAGCTCACATCTTAAACCACCAGCATGAAGCTGAGAGAAAGTGACCATGAAACCTGTCTCCACTGACATGCCTCCTCCCACAAAGCCACACTTCCTGCTTCTCCCCAAACAGTGCCACCAACTGGGAACCACATGTTCAAATCCTGGAGCCTATGGGAGATATCTCATTCAAGTCTTTACACATCACGTGACTGCTTGTCTCGATGCCTTCAGGCCTGCATCAGGCAGCCTGCACGGTGGGAAACGCAACAGGAATCTGCTTACTTGTGGTGGCTGGGAGGGCAAGAAGACGGCCATAAGGTCCCAAGGTCCCCTCCAAAGGCATGCTCCGATGTCCTAGTGTGCTTTCTGCTGCATGACCAAAGCAACTTGGGGAAGAAAGGGTTTGTAGTTCATCTTACTACTCCACATTCCGGCCATCATCAAAGGAAGTCAGGGCAGGAACTGAAGCAGAGGCCGCGGGAGACCACCTCTCTCTAGCCGGCTTATTTCCTGCAGTGTGCTCAGCCTGCTTTCTTAAATACCCTAGGATCACCTGTGCAGGGGTGGTGCCTGCCCACAGGGAGCACCATGTATACTGGGCCGGGCCCTCTTACATCAATCATTAATCAAGAAACCGTCCCGCAGACTTGTCTGTAGGCAATCTGGTAGAAGCTTTGTCTCAACTGAATTTCCTCTTCTCCGATAACCCTAGCTACATCAAGCCAACAAAAGACTAACCAGCATGTCTAATGACCTCATTTCCTTTCATTAGGCCCCACCTCCTACAGACATCATCATCTCCTGACAACCAGAGGCTGAGGACCAAGCCTTCAGCACCTGGGCTCCGGGCACACGGAAGAACTACCGCACCCACAGCACTTGGCTCTGTTTCTGTGATGCTGGATTCCATGGCTGGGGTTTGCTGAGGGCCTGTTTGACAGAGATGTCTGTGTGTAGTATGCAAAGGGCCTTTAAAAAACAAAGAAGTGGACTTTAAAATGGGCAGGAGAGCTGGCGAGACCCCTCGCCTAAGGCTCTTGTCTGCTTGCTAGTCTCTGGGGATGGCCTCAGAGTGGCTTGAGATGCGCCAACCCTCTCCAGCTTTCAGAACAGGTTCTGCGGGTCGGTGCTGATGCTTCTTGGTCTATCTCCACCAGGGTCTTTGTTTTTCTTCCTTGTGCTTGGCTCTGCTCGGTCACTGACCTGAGGCCTTTCTCAGCACAGTGTCCACAGCTGTGAGCTTCTCCCATTGCAGGCATCCTGCTACCTCTGCGCTGTGATGGCCGATGCTGTGTCAACCTGACAGGATTTGGAATCATCTAGGGGACCCTTCTGGGCATGCCAGTGAGGGTGTTTCCAGGCCGGACTAACTGAGGGGGAAAGAGCCACCGTGAATGTGGAGGACACTATCCCCCGGGCTGGAATCTTGGACTAAATATCAAAGAGGAAGTGACTCGAGCATGTGCGAGCATTGCTCGCCGTTTCCTGACTGAGGACTCGGGTCGCCTCCTCATACCCTGTTACTCTGACTTCCCTGCCATGATGGACTGTGTCCTCAAACCCTGAGCTAAAATGAAGCCCTTCTTTCCTTCAGTTGTTTCGATCATGAATTTTTCACCATCAGAAAAGCAACTAACGGAAGGGGCACCAGGGCTCGACAGGGATGGGGGAAGGGGGAGGGTGGTTGCTCCCCATATCAGACAGAGGCCACCATGCACATTGCAGAGGACCCTTAAAATCAGCAATCAATCAACCTAACTCAAAAACTGGCAAGAGAACTGGACAGACCCCTTCCCGAAGAAGACACCCAGATGCCAAACGATGCCCACGGTGTAAACTAGGAAAACAGAAGTCACGGGCAGGGTGGGGTGTGTCTGTGATCTCAGCCATTCAGGAGGAGGATCACGAGTTTGAGGACAATTTGTGCTATGTAGAAAAACCAGAGAGAGTGAGAGAGAGAGAGCACGCGTGTGCACACGCGAGAGACTATGAAAGTATGAATGAGAGACTGAATCTGTATGCTTGTAAGAACGCCCCACATTCAAAATATCAACAAGAGATACTGGGGACGAAGGAGGGACAGAAACTTTCCTTCACTGCTTCTGGGAACGCAAGCTGACTCAGAGCTGCGGAAGAACTCGGTGGGCTCTTACCAAATCAAACACACCTCCAACCATCCAGCACTCCCACTCCCTGGGTGGTCACATCTCCACAGACATCTCTGAATGGATGTGCACACTGCCACCTTAGTCACAGTGCCAAACGCTCCACAGAGCCATACCGAGCCTCCGCTGGGAGGGAGAGACCCTGCAGAGAAGGGGAAACCCTGCCAAGGGAGAGACTCTGCCTCCAGAGAAGGGAGTGATGTTCAGCACCAGAGGAAAAGGCCTGTGGAGGGGCATGGACCTGGAGGGGCTTGGAGGGGCATGGAGGGACATGGAGGATGTGGGGGAATGTACTGGGACCTGGAGGGGCACAGAGCCCTTCTGATCACGGTTCTAAGTGTGTGTGTGTGGGGAGGCTGTGAAGGGATTACTGGCGGTTGGTGGGCAGGGAGATGCTGTGGACCCCCAGACCCTGAATTTCCTGTAAACAACTTGCTATGCTTGCACCTGCTCTGAGCAAAGCAACTTGTTTTCCTGTGTTTGCAGCTGCTCTGAGCAAGAGACCCTCAGGAGTTCCTGGTGGCAGGGGAGTGGTTTCTGGTGGGTTTGACTGGGGCGTGGCTATCAGTTAAGGATCCCTTATAGAAGCTGCCCCTGAGCACAATAAAGGAGACATACTTGTTTCAAGGATGACCCATGTCCCTGTCGGTCTCTCTGTGTATGTGTTTAAATCTCTAACCCCTTTCCCGGCTTGCGTACCATCCCGTAGTGCAGGCGCTACAGGGAGACTCCACAGGGCACCAGAGGACGCTCAGGACAGCAAAGACCCTGCAGTGATGGGGATGTGTGTATCAAAGTCCTTAGCAGCAGCTTCTCTTGACCTTCTCTGTGGGTGTGTCTGAGACCATCACCCACTGGACAGTGGGAGCCCTCTGGATGCTTGCACACCATTTCCAGATATGGGGGACTGTCATGGCAGGATCTTTCTTCCGCTTTGTACAAAGCCTGCCAGTGAGCTCCACTGGCCACACCTAGGGCAGGTGACCAACGTCTCTCACTATTGCAGGGCCACCTCCCCCCGCCCTCCGGGACAATCATAGCCTGCAGAGACTGACATGGACTTAAACCACACTTCTCACAGCATGAGATGAGATCCAGGCAGTTAGAAGAGTTTATTGATGTTCTGAAGGGCTAATGCCAAGACAAGTGACCAAAACTGAAGGAAGTAAAGAGGGACAGTGGCCCAGGTGGAGTTCCTGGGAGGCAAGAGGTCAGGTCAGGTCAGTGTAGGGAACAAGTTGGACCTCTGTCCTGGAGAGATGCCACATCAGCAGCTGAGAGAAATTGGGAGGAGAACATGAGCAGGGAACAGACAGATCCATCAGCAGCTGGACTTCTGGCCAGAGCAGAGGCCACAGCAGGCCTGGCTGGAGCAAGCAGGGCAGCAGAACAGGGACATGCTGGAGCAGGGCTTGCAGCAGCTGGGCTGGCAGGACGAGGCACAGCAGGAGGAGCTGGGCACACAGCAGGCAGGTCTGCACACAGGGCGGCAGAGCAGGGACACGCTGGAGCAGGGCTTGCAGCAGACAGGCTTGCAGCAGACAGGCACACAGCATGAAGGCTGGCAGCATGAGGGCTGGCAGCTAGACTGCTGGCAGCATGAGGAGGATCCAGAGCAGATGGGTGTGCAGCAGACAGGCTTGCAGCAGAGGGTCACGCAGCAGGATGGCTGGCAAGGAGAGCAGGTGCCGCAAGCTGGCTGGCAGCTAGACTGCTGGCAGCATGAGGATCCAGAACAGATGGGTGTGCAGCAGACAGGCACACAGCAGGAGGATTGGCAGCATGAGGGCTGGCAGCATGAGGGTGCACAGGAGCTAGCACAGACAGATTGGCAGCAGGGGCTGGACCCACAGCTCACTGGGGTGCAGACAAGGGTAATGCAAGATGCTGGGGCACAGCAGCTGGACTGGCAGCAGCTAGGTTGGCAGCAGCTGGACTGGCAGCAGCTAGGTTGGCAGCAGCTGGACTGGCAGCAGCTGGGGGCACAGCAGCTAGGCTCACAGCAGCTCTCTGGGCAGTCATCCACCTGCCAGGAGGAGTTGGTGCAAGCGTCAGAGCAGACGGACATGGTGGAGGCGGCCATGGTGAGGTTGGCTGGAGGAGGGTGAGGTGTGAGTGAATGAGTGAGTGTGTGTGTGAGTGTGTGTGTGTGTGTGAGGTGCTGGGTTGTCAGCTTTTATCCCCCTGTGCTGTTGTCAGACTTGGACTCCCTTCCTTGTTGGTGTGGCTCGTGGTCATCATCAGGGTGTTTGTTTGTGTGTGATGATGTTGTCAGGCCTGTCTGTTTCCTGCCAGTGAATGATGCTGGGAGCATTAGGGGAAGCTCTGTGAGCAGCGAGGTTGGGATGTCATTGGTGGGACTTTTCCCAGCCATCCTATGGCTGCAGAGATGTCATCTGGCATCCCTTCTCAAGAAATAGATGGGCTCAACCCAGTACTCCTCCAATAGCCTAGCTCTGGGAGAGAACAGTTCTCACTTCATGACAGTGCCCACGTGGCGTGGGGTGGACCCTTACCAGCCGGTGGGGTGAGGAAAGTGGAGAAGCTGGCTTGACAAGTAAATTTCTGTTTGCAGGCACCAGGAGGCCCAAAGATAGCTGAGACTTGTGGGACCAAATTTCTATCTCGGGAAGAGTCCTGGATGGAGCCTGTGTTACTGTGGATTTTCCTCTTGAGGCACTGACAGAGCTACAGCTCACTGGGAAGGGACCCGGAAGTCGACCAAAGCCTTTAGTGGTCTTAAAACCAGAGGGTAAAGCCCAGAGTCCAGGGCCTGCTAAAGTGGAGGGTCTGGGAAGCAATGGGCTTTCAGAAGTAAACACTGAAGCCTCCCCCAGGAAAAGCAAAGCCGGAACCAGATGGCCTTGCCTGCACCTCAGCTCAAGTGCACATGGTAAGATGCCCACAGACCAACTGTTTGTCAGAGACACAGTTGTGGTGATATCTTGCTTGTAACCTAATAAATAAAGCTTGCCTGAAGATCAGAAGACAGAGCTAGCCACTAGTTAACCATATGGCTGGGCAGAGAGAGGAATATAAGTTTGGGAGGAGACAGGAGCTCGACCTCTTTTCGGTCTGAGGATTTTGTAGAGGTGAGAAGTCTAGCAGCTGGTTGCTCTGCTTCTCTAATCTTTCAGCTTTCACCCCCTAATATCTGACTCTGGGTTTTTATTATTAAGACCAATTAGAACTCATGCTACACACGGCCATCACTTCTGAGCCAGATAGAAGCACCGGGGACTCAAGGGATCTTAGATTTTAGTTTTTACACAGTGAATTCTTGTCTTTGGTCAAGTGTTACCAGGCATTCTAGAAGATATGACCAGTTAACCAACAGTCAAGAGAAGAACAGACAAGAAAGTTAGACATCAAAACAGTCACACCTGGACTTAAGGCAACTGATGAGGCTGGGGATGTAGCTTGGTGGATGACTGTCTAGGATGTACAAAGCCCTGGGTTTGGTTCCCAGCACTACAAAAATAAAGAGGGTAACTATGGAGAAACACTTCAAAATCAAAAGGGTAACCATGGTGATGCTCTTGTTTCTCTTCAGATCAAACGAAGCGTGACATATCTTCCAGGAAAATTGGGAGAAAGATGGAGATTTTTTCCCCCAGTGGTAACTGGCAGTCCACAAATAAGAACCAAATCCTGGGAGTGAAGAACCCCAAACCTGGACTTTGAGTATGGTGGAATAGATGAACAGCATATCAGACCAAGTCCAACAGAAGGTTAGCGAAGGGAAGGAGCTGATGGGTGTGATGACTGAATGCAGGGGTGGGGAGGGCTGAAGTCGAGGAAATGGAGCAACAAGCAAAGGGACAGGGTGGGGAGGGAGTGGTTTGGACCCTAGGAGAGACAAAGGGATGGGGCGAGGTGAGGTATTGAAAGCAAACAGGAGCTTCAAACTGATGGAAGACGTTGATCCATGAGGACAAACAGAGTGTATTTTAGGTGTGTTTAAAAGAGTTCAGTAAAGCACTACATAGGAATCCACGTGTGTGCACATTGGAGCTGAAAAACAAGGACAGTAGTCGGTCAGCAGGGTGGGAAGAAGCGCCATGGTTGACAGATGACTTCTTGATGGGAAGGTGGAGACCAGGAGGCCATGGAAGCATCCTTTCTCATCAGAAAGAAAACAGGGACCACACTAGAGCTCTTTGCCCACTGAGAATGCCCTTGGGAGACGAGGGCCAGACACCAACATCCTCCATGTTGCAGGGGACTCCGAGAAAGCATTGAAGTATTGCCACTGAAGGGCGCATGGGTAAACCGAGCAACTCCAGGCTGTATCGGACAACTCACAAACCCTTGCAGAGGTAGAATGCATAGAAGCAGGATGGAGTTAGAAGGTCTCAACACACTGTGCTGTCCGAGGAGCAGTATGTCACATGACTGTGCTGGCATCTATGTTCTAGAGTCCCACATCTATAGCTGCTGTTTAACCACACTGTCCCCTGCTAGGTGGGAGCAGCAGCCAGGAACCAATTGGAGAGAAAAGAGAGGGAAAGTGGAGGAATGAAAATTCCATGCATGCGACCCCAAGCATGAAGCAAGGAGGTAAAGGGGACACAGCCAGATATACAGTGGGGTGGTCAGTTTGAGCCTGGCTACAAGGGACACACCGATACCCTAGTGGAGCTTGGGTGCAAACTCGTTCACGGAGCTTCGTTTTGTATTTCTACGATGACTTGGGAAGCAGTGTGAGACTACATGTGCTTATTGGCACCCTCAGTTCTGTCTTCCTGGAGGGTTCCATGGCAGTAGGTGAAACATGACTCTATGTCTAAGGCATGTCGGGAAAGGGTTACGATGAGGAGATGGTAGTGGTTCAGATGTGAGATGTCCCCACATGGTCACATGTTTGAATACTTGGTCCCCAGCGGGTGGTGCCATTTTGGAAGGTTGTAGAACCTTTAAGAAGCAGAGCCTGGCTGGAGGAAGTGTCACTGGAGGAGAGGGCAGGCCTTGAGGTTTTATAGTGGGTCCTGCTTCCATTCTGTTTCTGGACCAGTTGTCTCATACTCCAGCGTATACTTTTGCTTTACAATTTGCTGAAGTAACTTTGTCACATGTACTATGTATCAGAAGTATTCTATTAAGGAAGTGCTTGGGCAGTGATTTGACTGAGTTCCTTCAATGCGTGGTGTGGTTTGGATTTTAAATGACCCCAAAAGACTTAGTCCCCGACTTGTGGCACTACTAGGATGAGAGGGAACCCTTTAGGGGACGGACTTAGTAGTAGGAACATAAATCACCGAGGGTTTGCCTGTGAAGGGACCCTGGCCCTGTGTCCTTCCTCCTGTCTCAGTAAGATGATATTGTACATCTCCCCCACAAAACTGTGAGCCCAAAAATTTCTTCCTCCTTATGTTGTTATCTTGGGAGTTTTGTCACAGTCACAAAATTGTTTCCCCCTAAGCTTTGCAGCTGTTGTGTGTTTACCCATGGGGCTCAGCTCCCAGCTGACAGTTTCTGCCCTTCTCCCCTTCCTGTTGCACCTTTACTTCCTGTTTGCTCAAAGGTCAGCCACCAGCGGCTTGTCAGCATGAGCCCCTGCGGTCATGCCTGGGATCTTCTAGACTCCCAGGACTGTTTCAAAGCCCTAATTTCTCGAAGTCTTTGGTTCCCAGCTTGCCTTAACTCTTACCCAGGTGTTCCTCTTTACCCCGGGCAGCAAGGATGGGTCGTTCACACTTAGATGCCTGACTGATCCCTGCCCTGTGTTAAGCAATTTGGAGAAACTGAGACTGGCTCTTCAGGGAGCTTCAGACAGGTGAAGATGGATGCTTACATATTCCAATTTCCTTTCTATTGCCGCGAGAAAACGCTCCTACCAGGAGCAATTTAGGGAAAAGGATCATTCGACTTATACATCCAGGTCACAATCCAACACTGAGGGAAGTCAGACCAGGAACTCAAGCAGGAACCTGAGCAGAAAGCACAGAGGAACATAGCCTGCTCATGCTTAGCTAGCTTTATTTATTTATTTATTGAGATTGTATTATAGTTACATCATTTCCTCTTCCCTTTCCTCTCTCTCTGACACCTCCCATGTACCTTTTGGCTCTCATTCAAATTCATGGTCTCCTTTTTTGTAATTGTTGTTACACACAACACACACACACACATTTGTCATCTATCTATCTATCTATCTATCTCTACCTATCTACCTACCTACCTATCCCTAAATATGTAAATACAACCTGCTCACTTCATATACTACTACTTGTATAAAAGCTTTCAGGGCTGACCATTTGGTATTGGATAACCGATTGGTGTGTTCTTCCCTGGGGAAGACTATTTTTCCCACTCTTAGTTCCTTAGCTGCCTGTAGTTCTTTGTGTAGGATCGAGGCCACTTTAGAACGTCCATTGGTTTTGTCCTTGTTCGGCTTGTGTTTAGGCAGCAGTGTTAGTGAGACTTCATGGGTGTAGCAGAGACAATCTCACAGCAAACTCCTGCTCCTCTGTCTTCCAGTCTTTCCACCCACTCTTCCGCAATCATCCCTGAGCCTTAGATGGAGGAGTGTGTTGCAGATGCATCAGTAGGGACTGGGCTCCACAACTCTGCATTTTGATCAGTTTTCTGTTATTGTCTCTGTCTGTTGCAAAAAAGTTTTCTTGATGAGGGATGAGAACTATACTTATCTGTGGATATAAGGATAAACATTTGGAGTGTATTTAAGGATTAGGCTGGTTTAGACTTCACTAGCCCTGGGTATTTGGCTAGGTTTCCAGCCCCAGGCATGGTTTTCCTCTTGTTGAGTGGGTAGCTAGCTCTCTTGAATAACCAGAACCACCTGTCCAGGGAATAGCGCCCTTCTACATCAATTAACAATCAAGATTATCTCCCACGGATATGTTCAATATGATCATATCTCTCATTGGAGACGCCCTCCTCAGATGATTCTAGGCTGTGTCAAGTTGACAGTAAAGCTTCCTCAGAAGGACATCCACTCTGTTCCCAGGCACCATTCCCACATAAATTGCACCTGCTGCTCAGGACTGAGCCCAGGAGGGCAGGGTTGGGAGGTGACGGACACAGAGCTCTCCCAGGTGTGAATGGCATTTCCATGCTTCA